CACACTTCAATCACTGCAGCCTCTGCTAGCAAAAGTTGTATTCATGCTGGGATGGTATTTAATTGAGCTCACTTGAACCAAGCTTCCAGTAAGCACATATGACAGATTTATATATGAATCCTCACAGAGTGAAAAAAATGACATTTATCAACCTTCCATCACAGCATTTGACATTTGAACAATTGATTCTGATTTAACAGTGAAAAATGCCACTATCCATATGAAAAACCTGCAACAGGATTAAAACCCTAGTCGCTACCATCCCCAGCAATGGCTCTGCCAGTTAAGCCATCAAACTTTTATGTACTACCCTAACTTTGTCTAGCCTTAAAGAGATTAAAATAACAATCCAAATCCTGACAAGTTTAATGCAGAAGAGACAAAAAAAATCTAGTTGGAGGAACAGAGCGCAGAGCTGGGTGATGTGAGCCATTAAACTGCTTGAAAATTGTAAAGGCTGGGCATACTTAAGAATAACAGCAGCAGGAGCTGATGTGGATTAAAGGCACGATACACTTGCTACAGACAACACTGTTAGTCTTGTTTTACCCCAGGTAACCTAGAGCTCATCTAGGTATGGCTAAGAGTAGAGAGTCTACCCAAATGCCACTAGATATGTGTTCACCTAATTAAAGAGGGACGCTGTCTCCACAGGCACAGAGGCGTTTGGGCAGACTTTTCTCTGGAGACAGGGCAAGAAGATGCTCGTCAGGCTTGTCAAGCCCTCTTGAGCAGGTGGGATTCACCCACTATTACTTTCATAAGCATATTCTGGTTAGCACTGAGTATTCACTAGGCAGGAGCCCTAGCTGGAAAGGAGGTCCTGACAATGACACACCTCCACTGCAAAAACAATTGGATTCTTCCAGTACCTCCCTTTGCCTCCTTACTCGTGGATGGTAGCATTCAGTAGCTGGTAAATGGATCAAATTTTCCCTACGAGGAAAAGCAGAAGTTCTGGCAAAAAGACTAATCATTTTGTTGCATATGATCCCTGGAAAAAAGCCGGTGAACTCTGCAGAAGTATGACTACGGTGTGTTTTCATGTATTAGTCCATGTTAATAATCAGTTACCTTGCAATCAACTAATGTAATAGACTACTTCTTCCTTAGTCACGTCCAGTTAGTAAACTGCAATTTAAACCCCATAGTTTCTCCTGTCATATTTTTCTCATTTCTACTATTCCAGTTTTCATGTTTTTTCTCTATGGTATTTCTAGAGTCTTTGTTGTACTAAAGTCTCCAAACAGGCTATGACTAATTTTTCTTGCTGACTCCTGCTTTTTCTGTCAAAGTCATTAATGGACATATAAATGAAATCACTGTTGGAGAACTCCATCAGAAATGTCCTTTGTTCTGATACTTTCTCTTTCAACACTACCTGATGTGTTTTGAGTTCCTGGGTTCCTCAATCTACTGGCTTTGCTTAAGCACTTTGTTTATAAAACTGAGGTTTGTTACAGATCTACCTCAAATTACCCTTTAAATTAATCTGCATGAACTGAACTTCTTATCCCTGAATCTAAATCTATTTCCTATTATCAGGTCTCCTATAACATCCTCATGACTTATGAAAGTGAAGTCTAAAATAAAACCACTTCCTGTCACGTTAGCAAATCTCTAGAGGATATTTTTATTGCCTAGAAATGCAAGAATATCTCAGACTTACCAATAATAGTATAGATTGCTCTCCAACCTGATTCCTGTTGTTAAATTATCCAAAACAACTACTGCAGTAGTAATTATCTCTCTAATAACGTTACAGAAGCCTCTTGGCAGTTAAAAAGGATCCTGGTGGCATATGGCATACTGGCAGTGATAATCTTTTACCAAACTGTGAGTTGTGCTGTTAGTTACACATACCACTGCTTCCCACCTTTTCCTGAAAAGCAGCCACTGTTAACAGAGTATTCATGACTGCAGCTGCAGGACAGATACAGTGTCCCATTGCACTTGTTCATCTACTATATCAGTAGCTCAACGTTCTCCATTTTGCTGCATAATCTCACTGTGTTTGCATATCCAACTTTCTGTCTTCTTCCTAATCACTCTTTCAGTGAGATCTTGCGTATTCAACTACTTTATTTTCCTTTGCTGCCTACGGGTCTACTGTGTGACACTCCTTTCCATACTGCTATGACTAGCGTTGTCTGATTACTCAATTTACCACATACTCAGGCAGAGCCTTGAGACTTTACAAGCGCTCCCTAGCCTTTTCCTGGTGTTTCTTTAAGACTCTTCTTATAAATGAGGCCAACACTAGTGTTTGCAGTAATATTACAGGTCCTTGGGAAAAACTTACATACTGAGAACAACTCATCATAATCACACACCAAATCTTCTTCAAACCTTAGCTGTCTGCTGACCTTCCCTATCACTCATTTGGTAGGGGGCAGAGCTATTCTACTGAACATATGAGCACCTACTTCTTTCAGAGCCTTCCTCCACATGGCCTAGTCACCCTCAATTACCTCCAGCAGCATCCTCTCAGTGTCATTTGTTCTAATGTGAAGGACAATCAGGTGACTGCTTCTTGCTCCGTTCAGAAAATATTCCCAATTAGATTCCCAATTCTCTTCCATGGTCTGAGCAAAAACGACACTGCTCCTTTGTCTCCTGCTTCATTGGGTTCTTGAGGCTGTGTGGCACTATAGTGGCTCAGGTTTTGGAGGCAGGATAGCCATATGTGGATTTTTGTCCACCTGTAATCATTAGCAGTGTATTGTGCTAAATGGCTGATTCTGCTTCAAGAACTTAAAAATATGGCTCAGAAATAGCAGGTGCATTTGTATGTGGACCTTTAAAGATGTACAAGCTCACCATCTCACAGTAATATGGCTCTATCTTTTCCTGGTAGTGGCCCAAGTCTCTGATCCTTTCCCTTTTGTTTGCAGTTATTCTGTGTTCTCTTCTTTTTACAGTCCCTCTATATTATCTTCATTCTTTATCTGGCCAAGCCTTGATCTTAGCTTGATAAAAATCTGTAGGTTTAAAAGCAATGCCTTCCTTTCAAGGCATCGTTTCCTTACACTACCACAGACCAAGATACAGAGTCCTTACATGTTTATAGGTCAGTTCCCTCAGCAGCAGAATCACAGTGATAAAACTGCTTTGTGAGTTGTTTTGAGTCCAGCTGTCACGCTCAGCGACATGCATGGAGATCTGCATATGATCTCAAGAGCACCTCACTGTATTTCAGACCTCGGATTCAATCTTTTCACTCTCCATCAGCAAAGACTCACCTAATTTCACTTGAAGGGGGGACGGCTTATAGTTCATGGCTACAGTCTCTCCCTCTCTCGTATCACAATCTCTGTCTGAGATAGATGCAGCTGTTGGATCCTGTTAAGAAAAGGAAACAAAACAGAATGGTTTAGCTAAAAGTTATGCAGTCTCTTCTCAACCGGTTGTTAGGCGAGTCCATCCCCACCCACATTCAGAGGGAGCAAAGCACATGCTAGTGTTCTGAACAGCTGAAACCCAGGGGCAAAATACATAACTTTGGAAGCACATTTAGTATGCTAAAAGTTCCTCTGGAAACACAGATTTCAACATCAGACTTATATAATGGATAATGCTAGGAATATAATGTAGAGGGTGGGTCATCAGTTCAAATTCAGCCAGGGTTGGCAGTAGTCCCAAACCATTTTCATGTGATGACTCTTTGGGGTGTTATTTGAAATGCATTTACAGTTTCAGCTGAGCTCTGAGTGGATCAGTCAACCTCAAGATTAAAACTAAAAAGCTCATGACCACCGGTGTAAAAGAGCAGCTCGGAAGGAATGAGGATTGAATAAGTAGGAGAATTCAATCTCCAGTTTCTCTTGGGAGAGGGATGAAGAAGCCTGTACTTCCTGTGCTGGACCTATTTAGTGGCTAACTGGAAAGATTTAACTTCAGTATCTTACAGCACAGCACCTTTCATTTTCTCTGAAACCCCCCTGAAAACCAAAGCTCTCCAGACACAGAGTTCGCCCTATTACACATACTTGCAGACAACCTAATCCAGGTAGTGTTGTACTCTATGGTACAGCACATCAAAGAATTCAGAGAGAGACAAAGTACCAATTCAGGCAGTTCTACCACTGCTAAAAACATTTAAAGTCCTTTCACAGCAAATCTGAAACCTGATGGAACTCTCTCTAGTTAGCACCACAGTGAAAATTAAAATCAGTATTCAAACATATTCACTTCTTTGAAGCTAGAGACTAAATTGAACATGCATAAATATATACATAAATGTGCATGTAAATTTAGATTTATAATAGGTAGAGCTGCATAGGCAAAACAAAGATCCAATATTAGGCCAAATATCTGAAGGAACCATCACTTTGTAAGAAATGGAACAAAACATCAGAAACTAAATATTAGAAAATACCATTTCAAATTGGTAAATTGATATTGTCCATCTCTCAGTTTCTGGAGTTTGTATTCCGTACAGAATTTCTTACAAAAAATGCAACCCATCATTTGGCACTCACACTGACAGCATGCAAGGCAGAGTCACTGAATTTCAAAGCAAGGTACCATTGCTCCTTGCTCTCAGTAAAAAAATCACTCAGTGAGCCACTGTCCCTTCCTTCCCAGTACCTGCCTTTCCTCTACAGTGCACATTAACTCTATTTAATACACTGTGTTTATAAGATAAAACATGATTCTTGAATTAGGCTCTATCTTCATAGAAACTGCTCAAATAACATGGGTAGGGTTATAATGTTTTATCAAAATTTTGCTCCTTCGCAATACCCAGTAAACTTTGACAGTATTTAAAATGGATGGTGCTTACAAAATTTCACATACAATGACATTAAAAAGATGATGCTGAATCATATGCAATTTATCCTACTTTCCTCTAATAGAGCAGTTGAAATTCAATGAAGCTAAAGTGAGGTGGTACACAGAAGAAAACCAATTCCAACTTTATAAATGAAAACATTGAGCTGTAGCTAGCTACTGTCACTCAAGGAAGAGATGTCAGATGACAGGGTCCATCAGATGACCAGCTAGACAGGCCAGGACTCTTCAGCCAGGGAGAGAAAATGGACAGGGTCTCTGGGAGAAGTCTGAAAAATCCTGAGTGGGGTGAGAAGATGAATAGGAATCAGCTAGCCTTTATTTTCTACAAGCATGAAATACGAAGTGGCAGCTAACATGCAGCAGCCGGAAACAAACTCAGTAGTTCTCCATACAGCAGATGATCTGCTGCTGTGGATGCTAAAAGGGGCTCTGGAAAAGGTGAGAAAAATTGAAGGAATATTCATCAAATACAAAAACACTGCTTCTGGCTCAGGCTGCCCCTGGCAGAGATCATTGGAGTGGGGGAAACAGGGAGGTATCACTGTGGGCTCTCCCTGTTCCTGTCCTTTTGGGGACACGACACAGGGCTAGGTGAGACCTTTAATCTGACTTGAAATAGCCATCCTTATTTTCTGTCTCAGAACCTATTGTATGATCTCAACTGAGGACCAGTTCTTATGGTATCCTTGTAACATGGGATTGGTGTCCAACATGCTCAGTTGAAAAGACTAAACCACAATTCAGGCTGTAGGAAAGCATATTTGTGGGAACTGCCAGATTTCCCAGACATGCTAGAACCTCTTCAAGAGGGATGTGTAAGGTGGTAAGTGGCAGGCCATCACCTCTGTCCAGGCTTCCCAGATGAGAACCTTTCTCTGACAGTCTGGGAAAAGGCAGGATACAGCCATTTTTAAAGAGCATGACTCCAAGAGCTGGATGCTTCCTAGTGCTACTGAACACAAGTCCTCAGCGTCTCAGTTTGCTGGCTGCAGGAAGGGATGGGAGCGGATGTGTTACTGAAAAGGACACAGTGCAATGCCCACACACTGCCTCTTGTGCTGGTGCAGTCCAGCACTGCGATATGTGAGTTTATAGCCAACAGGGAAGGGGCCTGGACGCCTGAACTAGCTCAGGTTCAAATTGTTGAAATTACCCTTAAACTCTTTAAATAAAAGCCAGATTCTACTTTTCTTGGAAGTTATGTGCTGACATTAACTTTTCCTTGTGGGTAACCTGCCAGTGACATTATACATCTGTTTGCATGAACAGTGGGATAGGAGAAACATTCTGAGGTGCTTTTGAGGATCTGTGTTCTGGTCCTGGACCAGAGAACTCAGCTGGAGCAATCTCACAGCTGTGCTCTAGACCAAACAACTAGAAAAGACTTCCCAGACCTCCAGAGGAGACAAAGATGATTTTCAAAGAGCGATTCATTGCATCCTATCTTAGACACTCATCTTAAAAGGAGATTAATCTGTCCTTGGAGATGTGTCTCCCTTTCCCTGTTGACTAGAGAGGAAGTCAGGCAACTGATGGAGACTGCACCTCTGCTTCTGATGAAGGACACACCACTAGAGTCCTTAATAATGCCAGTCTACACCAGAAATTCATCTTCAAGCTTTTGAACAATGCTTTTCTGCCTCAGTAGCACTGCACCTCTTCAGCAGAGGAGAACATGCTATCACTACGCAACAGACATATGACTAGCATAGAGAGATCACAAAGCACTGCAGAGTCAGGGCAGTCACTGCTGCATGCATGGGCCAGACCTGCTCCCTTCAAAGAGTAAAAGGAATCCAAAAGGAAACCAAACTGGGCTAGAGACAGCATCCCTAGTGCTAGGGTGTATCTATGCCTAGCCCAGGAGCACCAAGGTACTGTCATACTTCCCATCTATCACTTCATATACGTTCTGCAGCAACACACAGGACTCCTTAGTAACAACCCTGGCTGCAAGAATGACAGTATTCCCGCGGCAGCTCGGCTGGAGCTGTCTCTTTGCACGAACATGCTTTGCTTCTGTGCATACTGAATGGGCACATTTCCCTCTAGATAGCTCATCCCAGAGAAACATTTACTTGACTAATAAGCCTTTTGCTTGTGAATGCCTACAAACACACTGAGACTCAGCACAGGATTTCACTATTGGAATTCACTTGGCAATTTTGCCTTTTTTTTTTGAGCCTCCTTAAATCAATGCATTCAGCTCTGACCCTGATGTCAAAATCTCAGCTACACAGTATGACCAGTCCCAGGCCAGATGATGTGATTTCTCTCTGCTCAATGGGGGAACACAACACTCCCAATCAAAAGGCAAGTGCTGAGATGTGGCTACAGGAGCTCTAAATGGCAATGGGAATTCAATACATTTAAGAGGGTTTTTTTGTTCCTGAGGCCTCCTTATGTCTTCATTCCTAGGGAAAAAATTACATTCAATCAGGCCACTGCATGAACATTTGGCTGGGCCCGGAGTTTAATCAAAGTTTTCTCCCCACATACTCACAGCTTAATTGGGCATGCACAACCACAGCATTTGAACAGTGGGGAGCTTCCTTACTAGTTTGTTTCCTTCTACAGGCTCGACACAATGGACCTTGAAAACTCTGCTCCCCTGCTAGGTACAGCTATGTCCTACACTGTGTGTACATGTGCCATTTCTGAACATCAGAAATTCATTTCAGTGAACTTTCATGGTGCAGCAGTGCTGTGAATCCTTGGAACGCAGGGGAACAGAGAGAACCTGAAACCACCTTAAACTGAAATCAGGAGGCTTAAGGAACATGGCATGCTCAGTAGGGTTTTTATTCTTTCCCTGTTTTTTAAAATCCTGTTTCTTTTTTGCAGTACTCGGCAAGAAACTCAACATGTCCCATAATGCAGCAGGTCAGTAGCCTTTTTACTCTTATCATCTGCCCCTATCAGTAGCCCACATTGTCTGTGGGGCAAAATAGCCCCAAACAGCCAACAAATTTTGCAGTTACACCCACAGCAGTGGACCTGGGTGCTGGGTACAAACATACTCTTATATGTACCCTTGGAAAATGCAGCTTCCTTTGACTTCCTTCACAGTCAAGACTTCTGACATCTTGAGAGCTTGACAAGCCTGTGTTTTCCACCCTGCAAATCCTCTGTGACCCCAGTGCATGTGGAAGGGAATGGGCACACACGGTTTCTGTAGCATTCAGCTGCCCCTTAGAAACATATCTGTAAACTAAAATTCCTCTCTCTGCCCACCCTTCTCAACACTAAAAACCAGTACTTTTACAGCTCTAAAAAAATGTTCTCCACTCTGCTGTCTGTAGGAAATTCTACAATCATTAAAGCAGCTCTGCTTTTTTGATAAAGCACAGGAGGGAAATTGCCTTACCTTCTAACATCAAGAAAGACCCAATATACAGGGCTTTACCCACCACTCCTCTCCACAGTTCAGAGGCTTTGGTCTGATCACCATTAGCTGAATCAGTACAAGCTGACTGCTCAGAAGTATCATCCAGCTACCTTTGCCTCTCTCCATTACTAACCAGTGATGTGCCTGCTGTCTT